CCTGCAGCCCAGACACTCGAGTTTTCTAAATTGGCAGTCACCCTGGTGCCTTTCGATTTCCTCCCTTGTACTCACGTTCGGACACCCTTCGTGAGGGCAACTCGCCACCGCTTTTGGGCAATTCTTCCCGTGTTTTTGAGCCTCGTCAAGTGTCCCCTTCCACTGACAATCCCTACTGCAGCACTCCAGTTTCAGACCCCTGGTCAACTTGTCCAGGCTGACGTTGAGGTGTAGCTCATCAAGGTGGAACGGTTGACGGCAAACCGGGCATGGACCTCTTGAGGCTGATGAATTACTTGACAGACTAATGATACTATTCAGGCAGTCCATACACCCAGAGTGGCCACATCTCAAAGTGACTGGTTTCATCATGACCTTTAAACTATAATAATTGGAATTGATTGCTTAGTATTTAATATCTTTCTTTATTTATTATTTTCTCAGGGGAAACAATTTCTTCTTCTTTTTTTCAAATGATTGCCGTGTAGGGCCCTGAAGAAGACTCTTGTTTGAGAATGAAATTCTTAAATTGACAGGATCATATATCACTATTTATCTGGCTAATTTTTTCATAAAACGTGCATCGCATTTAGCCACTAAACTTGATTCCTGGAATATTCTCAAATGTAATTGCTATTTGGACCTAACTTTGGACCCCCAAATCAAAAATTCATTGATCCGCTGTTTTTTTCCTTTGCCGCACCTCGCAGTTTATCTTTTACCCGGGATCTTTTACTTTCACCCTCCTGTGAAATCTGAAATGTAAACATTGATGTTTCTCTCTGCAGCGCGAAAGAGACCCGTTAAAAAGGCCAATTTGTCCTTACGCTATCGTCGTGTTAGCGAAAAAGGAAACCTGCTTTGCCCTTTTTTCGAAGATTTTTTTCACGCAGGAATACACGCGATACACTGCAAAACAGTCCGTTTGTGTCAAGTACGCTGGAGCAGTCAAACAGAAGGTCTGGAACGAGGCTGAAAACAGAGAGCGAGACTGGGGAGAGACTCGCCCCACACGCCCTAAGGGTGAGGCTGGGGCACTTTTACGCCACGCTTTACCGATTTCTTTACTGATTTTTGCGTGAAAGGTCGCCCGTACTTCCACTTCTCGTTTATCAGCACTTTTTATCTTGTCTGAATTTAATTTGCGTGACTATGCGTTAACGTGCGTAGCCTAAAACGGCGATTTGCGAGGAGAAACGTCAGGTCATTTATCACAGTAAAAGTATCCCGTGAGACTGCGCCTACAATAGCCGGAGCGCGTAGTGCTTGAAATGCCCCCATGCCAAAAGCCATTGCATTTTACCACCGACAAGGACGTTTATAAAAACTTTTATAGTCGAGCTTGCTTGGAGGTAAGATATGAAACAAAGAAGTGATTAATTCTACAGAAAAATCATCCACGGGTATATATATATTTTTGTCGCATCCGATTACATTATTGCAAAATTGGAAAAGACTTGATGAACATCGCGCTCTATTTCAATCTAGCACGAAAATAGACAAAATAAAACCGCAAGCTCACCAAAAAATGACTTAGCAAATTTTCGTTGTTTTATTCGGCTACTTAAGCATTCAGTTGTTCCCAAAGAAACCGAAGTTTCTTTGGAAATTGGACAAAACGTTCGCTATTTCTATCAGCTTGGCACTTGTCACACTATGATTTTATCTCCAGTTAACCTCGTTTTTTGGTGACTACCTTGAAAAGAAAGCAACGCTTGCATTTTTCGCTCCCAAAGCAAACAATGCAAAGTAAGATTCCATAACAACTCGGCCGCCTCGGTTTGTTGGAACTTTTGTGATCAACACTGACTTTGATGGAACTAACTTACATTAGAGAAGGAAACACATGAACCACGACCGGCGAACCGGTCTTACATAAAAATTCGAGTGCATCATTTGAGGAGATCGACCAAAATCACAGCAAATCGTGGCAGATTTTTATGAAGATGTGAATAAGGGGCGCTGATCAAGAGGCAAAAGGACAAGAAATGCTTTTTTAACATTGAAATATGTTGGTGGGTTCGCTCCTCATTTGATAGCATTGAACAGATATAGCAACACATCGAGGTGGATGCACTGTCGTTAATTTAAAAGTGAGCTTACTTACCAAACTACGCATTCCAATCCCTCGTTAACTGCCTCGGTAAATGCGCAGTTGAAAACTCTCTGTCCATGATCTTGATCCATGTGGAACGTTTTGCTGGAGATCAGTGTAGAGATGGCCGTCTGCAAAGAATGAATAAAATTGACGTTTGTGTAAAAACAATTCCGCGGCGGAAATGGTACATAACAATTAAAAGTGACACCTACTGACGTATCTAATCGATGACATCAATGGCATCAGTGAAATCGATAGATAATTATTAGATAATCGATGAGTAATCGAATGCATCAATTACCCATCGATGACATCAATGATAGCCTTCAAAGCAAACGTTTCCAATCAAGTTCTTGTTCTTTTTTTGCTCTTTCTAGACGAACTCACGTGGAAACGCTTGCCATGCAGGCTACGTCAATGAGTAATCAATGTCATATATTACTCATTGATTATAAAGAATTTTCAATGACTAATCAGTTGATTACCCAATGATTACTCATCGATTATTCATCGTTGTTAGTCCCATCGATTAGTTATTTGTGGAGCTGACCAAACAATACTAGTCGTCGGTGCTAGAACCCGGTTACATAAAACCCCCATAACAATTACCGGTATACCTAAGTGTACTCTTGAAGTGATGTGCATTTAAATCACTTACGGCCGTACATCACTTTCTGCCTCAGCTGAGGTTTTTCGGAGTTTTTTTCCTAGGGGATAAAACGTCAACACCGGACGTTTTCAGTAGTTGTTCGTTTATCTCTCGTGCACTTAATTTTGAGACAATTTCAGTGATGGCCAGTTTCTATCGTTTGTTTCTATTGTTACTAGTTTGGCGTCATAAGTAGCAGGTAGCATATGGATACCGTAAAATTCCGAAAATAAGCCCCTCCAAATATAAGCCCCCCAAACCGGTAACGCAAAAACTCCTCCGTTAAATCGTCCCTCCATATATAAGCCCCCGGGGGTTTGTATTTGGAAAATTGCCCTCAAATACAAAGTAAAACAAAGCAAAAACGGTAAATTTACCTTCAACTATAAGGCTAGCCCAATCGATCTTGGAACGCAAATTTCCCTCCGTAGATAATGTTTTGTTGTAAACAACAAATATACTGCTGTAACCAACGGTTTCAAACTGTGTTCTTTAATATCTGTTCATACACATATGCACGTTCGAAATCCGATGATTGTCTCCAACGTTCGTTGTGT